GGTAAATAATATTATTATAATAATAATATATTATTTAATAAATACCTTTTTGAATCAATAATATTTGTAAATGGTAATAATGTTTCAGTGATTATGTTTCAAAATTATTTGTAAATAAACAAAAATGCATTATATTTGCTCATCATCATAATATTCTGAATGCTATTTGTGAAGTTGTGGAATCCATGAATATAAAGTAATTATATTGATTATATTGATAATATTGTTACCTTTATACCAAAGATATGAATATGTAAATTTTCTTAAGTAAGAATATAGATAATAGAGAATATTATATTTAACTTTAATTTATAATGATTTAAAAATATTTTATATCAATATCAAATTGACATTGAAAATAAATATTGATATTTTAAATATGTTGATTTCAATGATTGTTTTTTTATTTTTAATATTTAAATTATAAACTTCCATAAATTATCAAATTGCATATTTATATCTTTAGTATAAAGGGCATGATATATACTATTACAGAAAGATAAAATTTTTATTTATTCGCAAAATTGTTTTATTATGTTTTAGATTCATTAGAATTGATGGGAAAATGAATTCTGAACGTAGAAAATATGAAATTGATAAATTTCAAAACAATGATTCTTATATTGCAGCAGTATTATCAATTACTGCAGCAAACGCCGGGATTACACTCACAGCAGCACAACTCGTAATTTTTGCAGAATTGTTTTGGAATCCTGGAGTATTTATCGCTTATATTATTTTTGAAATTATTATTATTATTATAAATTGTTAATAGTTATATAAAATTAAAAATTAAATTTATTTAAAATATTTTATTATAGATTTTATGTCAAGCAGAAGATAGAGTACATAGAATTGGTCAATATAAAAATGTTGTTATTCAATATTTAGTTGCAAAACATACAGCAGATGATTATTTATGGCCTTTAATTCAGAAAAAAATGAACGTATTGAACGAAGTTGGACTGGATCAAGATTTTTCTTTGAAAGATATTGATTATACTACACAAGGATTAAATTCGAAACAAAAAACTTTAAGTTTTTTCATTAATAATGAACAATATAAACACGAAATTGATAAAAAAATAGTACAAGATAATGAAAATGCAACAAAAAATATCATATCACAAAATCAATCTTCTACTACAGAAGAATTTAAAGAATTACTTGATATGAATGAAGAAGACTTTGACTTTTGTGATTGGGACATTATGGAATGAAAAAGAATTATTATATGAAGTGTATGAATTTGTATTTAAATAATAAAAATATTTATTTTTTAATATTTTTTTTAAAATTATTATTAAAGTTTTCGTAATAAAAAATATGTGTATTTCAGTAATTTTTCATAAAATTTTAATTTTAAATTTGTGAAATTGTGATCAATTCTAGATATATTGTAAAATCAAAAATATAATATATATTATTTTATTTTTTATATTAAAGATTATAATTCTAAATAAAGATATTAAGATTAAAATAAAAATGATAAAGTTGCGTTGAAATTGATATCTCGTATTTTGTCTGTAATATGATATCGAGTAAATATAGAAAAAGTAAATAATAAAGTAAAAAAAATAAATCATAAAAAAAGGATAAAAATAAAAATAAAATAAACAATTAAATTTATTTAAAATATTTTATTATAGATTTTATATCAAACAGAAGATAGAGTACATAAAATTGGCCATCTATAAATAATGAAATATATATAAACAAGAAAAATAAATAATGGAAAATAATGGAAGAGACAAGAAAAATTGACTACTAGCGCTATCTCTTTAATACCAAAAACATTTCATTCAAAGATAGGATAAGATAGAGTGAAATTAAGGATTAAGTGCCCTCTCTGAATGCATTTAGAAAGATATTTTTTGGAATAAAATAACATTGGCTTATGCACATCTTATATGAATATAGTAATAGGTTACTTTGAATATTTACCGCACAAACGAATGCTTTCAATGCAGTGTTTTTTCTGAAACTTGTTTGTTCGTTGATTGAAGTCGTGTGTGAATCTTAATTTGTATTTATTTATAACAAATATATTTGCAATGTCCATTTTTAACGCGCAGCAGTTTTTAGGTGCATTGTATAAACGTTATATAATTTCACTGCCATCGATAAATTTATCTAGAACTCAAAAAGCAAGTATCTCTTTTTGAGGTTAGAATAAATACATTTACATTCAATAATTTTGATATTACATAATATTTAAAAAATGATATTTCATATTCTTTTTATTATATTATTCTTCATAATAATCTGAAAAATATTTATATTATTATTTCGTAATAAAATAATTAATAATATTTTAATATCTTGTTTCTCTTTTTATAGATTTTTATTATTTGTCTTACGGGAGGATCATTACTATTAGGAGGATTAGCACAATTTTTAAAAAGACGAAGAAGACATCCTCTCCCTTCTTCAAGAAGACCTTTAAGAGAATTAAAACAAAGATATGCTGCTGCAAAAAGTTCTAATTTTGGTAATCTAAATTAAAATATATAATTATATAAAATATAAATTTATAAATAGATATTTAATAATTGTGATTAATAAGTATAAAGTATAAGTATTTTATATAATATTATTATATTAATATATATATAATATTAAAATAAAATTGCATAATATTTTTTTCTATATGTATAGATGCATTATCACAAGCATCATGGGCAAGAAAAAGTGAGGCTAGTAGCAGAAGTCATATAAGTGATCGAGTATCACTTATATCTTCTGTTCCAGGAGGTCCAGATGGTGATGTAAGACTTACTCCACAACAATATGGAGTTCTTGGTAAGTCATTTTTATATTTAGATCTTATAATATATTCTTCTAGTTATATTTTAAATATATTCTTATTATATCTTCTTATATTATATTTTTTATAATTTCTAAAAGATTTCTTAAAAATATTTAATTTTTAATATTAATATCATTCTATTATTATTAATATTTAAAAATAATATACAAAAAAATTATGAACCAATTTTTTTCTTTATATGAAAATTGGAAAGTAAAATAATATAAATAACATTTATTAGTTTTTAATTTTATTGAGATATTTTATGATATACAAGAAATAGGAGTATATATAATATTATTAAAGATAAAAATAACAGAATATAGAATATATATAATTTTTTTAACGTCCAAAATTATCCTTCACACACACACACACACACACACACACACACACACACACACACACACACACACACACACAC